CAACATTATCAGAATTAGAACAGTATCATGGGAACTGGCTAAAAAAAATAATGTTAATAATAAACATGAAATTATTTAGTCATAAGAATATTTTCCAGCTTTTCAGCTGATAAAATAAATGAGCCTGGAAAGTAGATGAAACAATCAAATAATATAAATATTCCCTCCCTGCCTCACATATGTAAAGAATTAAAAGTCCATGATTAAAAATATATTCAAAAATACCTAAATAAGTCTCTTGTTTTAACACAAACCTGGCAAGAGTCAACTCATCATTTTACAGATAAATTGCTTTTGTTGTTATTTCACTCTTGCAAAACAAAGATTAGAGCTTGATTGTAGTGGAATTCTGACACCTGTGAAGCCCATTTTGGGTTTTTTTTAGCTAAAATAGGTCATAGCTTCAGCCTTAAACTTTGCGGGGGGGGATTATGTTCTTTACAGCTATAACCTGCCTTGACTCAATTGGTCTTTGATGTGTTGGATGGACACTAATAGAAAGAAGGAGAAATGCCATTCAAAACAAGAGGAAACTATGTTATTGCCATACATGAGCCTGTTTAGGGCTGGATCCAACATCCTCTGAGCTTAGTGGCTACGTTTCTTCTGATGCCAGTGGAGCAGGAAACATAAGGAGAATAAACATAACAATTACTTTTGCTTGCTTTCACACAGAATGCTACTCCTAACAGAGAGTGAAATTAGAGAAAATTGTGTAGACAAAAAATAATCTATAAAGTAAACTATAGCAACTGAAAATAGTTTAATCCTCTTGGGACGTTTTGTGACTAATTTTATCTCAGGTAAAGAAAATAAAGCTTGTGAATTACAGGTTGCAGACTATATGAATCAGTAGCAAGAAGTAGTAGATCTTCAGATTCTGTACTGCTTTTGGAAGGAGCAGAGATGAGATGGAATGGACTTCTTAATTTAGGTGTTCCTGCTGCCTCTGAATCTCTAATACAAGAGAGTCTGTGCATGACCTCCTGCATGAGTGCATGTATACGTGTATGTGTGTGTGCATCCAGGGATGTGAGGAAGCAAAATGGATGAGTAATTCCCATCAGACTGGCAGGAAAATCTGAAGTATGCTGACACATATGCCAATAGGTCCCTCCAGTTTGGATGGTCAGGTACACTCTTTATAGAGTGTACCATGGAGAGTGATAGTTGTCTAGTCAGGGATTGGTAGCCACTTGAGATTAGTGATCACATCACACCTGCCCCACAGGCCAGAACAGTCCTTATTAACTGCTGGGAACGTCAATACTTTCTTCAATGATGTCCTTTGCAGATGAGATGCAGGACTCACTCACGGTCCTTTCTGCAGCAGAAGGGGATACTCAACAATGAAGATCTATTATTCACCCCTTCCTCTATCTAAACCTAAAGAAACCCTGCTTTTCCAACAAAATATCAGTTTAATGCAATTTTTTAACCTAACTAAAATGGCTCCAGATCCTATAGAAATGTAGAGTCAAAGTGAAGAAAAGAGATTGTTGAGGGATTTTCTACTTTGAAACTGAACTCGCTGAAAGAAGTATTGTTGTAATTCCAGCTAATAGACATGGACATTTTTTTTCTTCCTTTTTTTTTCTTTCCTGTAAACAGATCTCCCAGAAAATTTTCCTATATTACCAGATGGTGAACATAATTCAATAGGGAGACAAAAACTGTGAATATCTTACCTTTGTTTAAAGAAAAAAAATACATATATATATATATTCAATAATATATCTCTGAGTTTGCAGCTGGATTTCACAAGCAGTTTAAATCTTATGTCAGCTTTAGAATTTCAGCCATAAAATCAAATTATTTTACTTACCTGTTTCAATTAGTTTACAAAGATAATCTATGTTTCCAATAAAACTTCTGTGGTAGATAACTATAGGAAAGATAGAGCTGGTTGAGAAGTACTGATTTTTTGTAAAATAAAGTACTGGGTTTTTTTAGTCTTTAGTTAAAAGCCAAAATACTATATTGCTTTGTTTTCAGAAGTCATAAATATGCATGTTAGTTTATAAAAAGCAGAACTCCTTCTAGAAGTGCATGATCAATTTTCATATGTTTAGTGAAAAAGCGAGTAATTTTAGAGAATTTCTTTTTTTTTTTTTATCACATGGCAGCCTTAAGAAAAGGACAAAAGAGCCATAAAAGGAATTGAAAAATAAGGTTTTTAGTTTTCATACCATTTTATCTAATAACAGGATCACCATTGTTTGAATTTGTGATTTGTACGATCGTCTCTGAATTTTCCGTATCAAAAAATTGTCTTTAGAGGTGCAGATGTTAGCAAGGTTAGTATGTTTGACGAACATACTTTTAAAATCTCCTATAGAGGCAGAATGTCTACAGCATATTATGTGCAGAAGAGCATCACAAGTGATTAATATACAGGTAGAACTTCCAGAGAAAGGCACTTCTCGTTGACTAGCTGTGCTAACAAAAAAGAATCAAATTACAGGAGCCATCAAACGTTGTACTTGGGTAAATAAGTAGATCACCATCTGTGCTTTGGCAAAAATTTAGGTTTAGGGTATAGCAATCTATGATAGCATACAATGAAAGGAGTTTACAGCTTCTTCTGAAATATTCAGCTTTGACTATTGTGAAACCTAAGAAAAAACTGTAAGAAATTGATTAGTGTAAGTCCTTCTGATCCTTAAAAAAAAAAAATCCTTGTGTTGTGCTTTGTAGCTATTGAGCCTATTATAATATGTATAGTCCAATCCATCCATTCAGTGATATGTACTTAAGATTACTGCAAAGTTATATTAATTAACAAATGTTGTGAGGGTTGAGAAGCAAGAATTTTTTTCTAATGAATAGGACTTTTGTTCTCAGATTGTTTTGTTGTACTCTTGATAAAACAGTCTTTTAAAAATTGCTGATAGTTCAGCCTCAGTGGAGTTATATTTTATTGCTTTTTTTTTAATATTTATTGTTAAAAGTTATAACATGCTATTATGCTTTTGTTCTGAAGAATGTTGTGGTCAAAAATAATTTTTCTTTGTCAGAAAGTATAATTTAATGTTTCTAGCTTGTCTATTGTATTTGTGAACATTCACGTAAATTACATGCTGGTTGGATGGATGTACACTATTGTGAGGAAAAATCATCTTGTAGACAAGGCAAAAAACCTGTATACAATATCCTGAATAATTCCCTCTCATTCACACAGCACTGGTTACAGTTGTATCTTCTTCTCCATCTAATTTAGGAATAACTGTATGGAATTAGATCAAGTGTATCTGATTGTCTACTAGATCCAGATGAGAGAAAAAGCTCAAGAGAACAAAAAAGTAAAGATGTACATTTTGAGGATAATTGTCTTAAGCACCAAACATTTGATTAGAACACTAAAGTGTTCAGTAAGATCAGCTTGCCTTCCATTATTCATTTCATTCATTGCATTGTTCCCTGTTCATTTCGGATTGACCCATTGATATATGCAATATATCAATCATTTAATAAACCTGATTCAGGAATTTATTTGCAATTTTGCATCTCATGGAAGTTTGACATCAGATTTCATGGTCTTATCATATTTTACAACGTGTTCCCTGGTTGCTGTAGCAACGTTGTTGCTATGGATTACACAATGAGAGTCAGTAGGGTCAGCAAAGATCAGAGCCCCGCCATTCTTCATTCAAAGTCAATTGTCCCCGAAAAATGTGACTTACTTCAATATTTAAGGCCTGGGTAGTGATATTAAACCAGAATGATACTTCTGTTTAAAACCTATAATTAACCTTGTCTTCAACTCTAGGTCACACATTAATAGCAATTTCATAAAGTGGACATTCCTCTGTCTTACATTCTCGAAAGCCTAGACAGGTTTTAAATAATATGTCTCTTGGAAAAATACATGGGTAATCGTTGCAATTTATTTTATGTCATTATCTAAGCCCTTGAGACCTCACATTCCCAGCTCCTCTCCCTGAGGTAATTGCATACATCTTGGGAATGTGTGAAATGGTGTTAATATTCAGTGCACCATGCCTCTTCAGAGCATCTGCCTACAATGGCACACTGTCTAGATATTTCTCTGCAGAAACTGTTTTTGAGTAATATGAAGCAGTTCTCCCAGTGTTCCGGGATATTTAATGATTCCCTGGATCCCAACAAAGTTCTTAACAGTTTCAGTTGTAAAGATATCGTCCGCAATTTGGTGATGCGACACCAACTGATGCATTCCATCAATATTTTTTTCTTTCCTCAAATTAGAATCAGCAGTACCATTTCTATCTGTAAGTTATTCTTCTATCTAATGCCTGTTTAATAATATTTATGCCCACTGAATATTCTGGGAGAAAAAATTACTTACAGAGAGACTGTTTGATATTCAAAGCTTTAGGATGTAATGACTGAACTCTACACTCTTGTATCTTGTATTGTCATTATCTTGTACAAACTGCATTCAAAAAAGTACCATCACTCAAGGCCAAGGCAATGAACAATCAAGTTTCAGGTACTTAAAAGCATTAGAATTGAGTTTATTTCCTGTAGAATTTAACTTGAAAAATACTATGAGTGACCTAATTTCCTGCTTGTTTCACAGTATCAGTTGTAACTACATACAATACAACAAATTCTTGAAAAAGGCAGAATAAATTTTCTTTTCACAGTATTTTATTTTGTCGCTCCTTGATTAGAGTCTTCAATATTATTATACACTCCCATCTCTTAAAGATACAGCAATTAATAACATTTCTTTCTAAAGCAGTTAATTACTTTACAAACCAGCTTTGTAAATTAGCCTTGAACATCCCCGCAGAACCTCATGGTACACCCATTTAACAGAGAAGGCAGCCTATGCATAACACAGATGCAATTTTTTTAAAAGAGTAATCTACTTTTATAGTAATCAAACACGTATTCTGCACAAGAAAAGTAGTACTTTCACACCTTTGTTTGATCAAGTTGAAGCTTTGCTTGTTTTCCCCAAACCCCACCTAATCCAGTCTTCAAAAGGAAATCTATTCTCTTTTTCTCCATAGATCCTTAGCAGTTAACTGAATATTGATGACTTGCTGCAAACCCCCCCAAAAAGAGCACAGACCAATCAGGATTCACCTCACCCATCATTTGTGCAGATGTGGTAAGTTTGCTATATAAAATTTCTCTAGCACAATGGAGAGAGATATGTCATTCATTCTGTCCTGACAAGGTGTTTAGGATTGATAGGTTTCGGAAGGGTACTCACAGTCTTATTGCCCACTTGTACTCAAAAATGGTATGTAGTTTGCTGAGGAAGTAAATTTTATTCAGCATATGTTCCTGCTGTAATCTAATCTCCATAGGCTGAAGTCTTGCTATAAGTTTCAGAGGAGATCTCCTTTTGACTATATGTTCTCCTTTCTCCCTAGCATTTACCTTACCTGATTATTTTAGGTACCTTATATATTAACTTGTGAGTATTCTTATTACAGCAATACCTTTTTATTATGGCTGAAAAGTCAAGGCTTGCTTTCCTCTGAAAAAGTAATGGTGTTATGCGATAGTCAATTCTGCAAACCTAAACAGAGGTGTGGCTTCTGTGAGGTCTGTAGGGCTATTCAAGCAATATTTGCCCATGATGAGTTAAAGAAAGCATACTATTTGTTACTCTGTTGACATTAGCTATGCAGATGAAACATGAAAAACAGTCACTTTCTCCAACTACCATTTTTCCCCTAATTCAATTTAAAAGGCATATCAGTGACGTGACATGCTCAATTAAGAAATCATATGAAGAATATGACTGATGCTGAAAAAATGAAATGATTCAACACTTGTTTCGTTATTAGAAACATCAATTTCTAAATAGCCAATTACTTTTTTTGGTAATTCATACTTAGAAACTCAAATGTAATTTTGAAAAATGTAAATTATTTCAACATCACACAGTGAAATGAAAGTTGATATAACTGAGGGACTTGTTAATGTCATAACATCACACAAACCAATGCATATGGGAAAACAAATTGTTACACATTTTCTTTGACTCTCAACTTGGATCCAAACTTCAGTCATATGACAATTCATCTTTTCCAATTAGCAACACTATTTGGAATGACTTTCCTTTTTTTTATGTAATCATTTTTAATGAACCTTGTGATCAAATACACCTCATTATCTTTCATGAAGAACTGAGAAAGGCAAGCTGATTATTTAAAACAGTTAAAACTGCTTTACATTCATTTAGCTTTGATGGAGTAAAAAAATGTGAAGGAAGGAAAATAGAAATATTTACTTTATCAAATTATTAAAGACCTTTACAAGTATGTTCAAGTCAAATTATTTTTTGGACCACAGGTAGCAGAATATAAATAATAGTTTTTATCTTCAGTTTTTAAAAGGTTAATATAATGTTATTTTTTTAATATTTAAATACAATACTTTTTTTCTTTTCAATCTATTTTCTCATAATATCCAAACCAGAAACTCTTTAGAAATGTATAGAGAAAATCACAAGTCAAAGCAAAATGTATCTTTCTTTTTCAGTGAACACTTCTTTTTCTTTGGTTTGGTTTTCTTAGCACTGTAGCAGTCAACTAGTGTAATTACTGATCTTTCTGTCTGGTGAATGTCACCTGTAAATCCAAATTAATATAAACTATTTAATTAGATTTTAAATACATTTCTGCTAAAAGAGTGAAATGACCATTTCTTACTATGTAAATCATGCTATAATCAGTTAAACCTCTTTTGCACCTTTGAGGTTTCTTTAGAGGAATATTTTGCAAGTAGACCGAATCACTTCAAAATAAGTAGGCATAGCAGAATTTAGCTCTATGAAGAGTGTGTTATAAATAGGATTCAATTTCTTCTCTCTGTCTCTCCCTTTTTTTCCCCCTCTCTTCCCATTTTCCCCATCTCTTTTGTAATTATCTCAGTTTAATTAGAAATAATATAAAATCATTAGAAATAAAACTTTCCTTTCATCACACAGGTCACTTAATAGTGTCCTCCCTCTTTCTGTGTCAAGGGAAGCTGAATGGTGTTTCCTGAATGACATTTCAATAGAAACCTACAAATAGAGTTTAACAAAGAGATCAAGGGGTACTGTATGGATGAGGCAGATTCTTTTTATTTTTTGAAGGTGTGAAGAGTCCCACTTATTACACACCTACATACTTATGCACAGTTTTTTCCTCACAGTCTGTGCCTCGCTCTTCCATCCTTCCCTCACTTCTGTACCAAGGGGGTTCACAGCCCATGCAGGCACCAAGAAAGTATGCTGTTTATTCTCCCTGTAAACAAAGTGTGGGTCTCGTCCTCTGCCAGCTCACTGTCGAGTGAGATAAGCAGACCTCCTATTGCTGAATTATGATCTTTCTTTCAGGCATATGCCCCCAGGATCTATAGCAATCCCTCTAACAGCTTGAAAAATGGAAGCATTTTCAAAGACAAGCTTGCTGGTACTGAGACTGACAGACTAGGAAACCTTGTTGTTATTCACACTCTGAGAAAAGACCATTCGCTGGCTTTCAGCTCGTCTTTTCATCCAATTGTTTCCCAAGCAGTTATTTAAGTGATGATAACATTTTTTTAATTGCAGGTTTAATTACAGGAAAAGTCAATTATCTCATATGTACAGCATTTTACATAATGAAGGAGCCAATTTTAAAACAACAACAACAGCAACTAAATTATGGCTCAAATATTTAGCTCTTGAAATTTCCTAGTGTGATTTTTTTCAAGTAATCTTTGTTTGGTAGGTATTAGAAATGGTTTATTATATTTAAGATGTTCAGAAGATGTTGGTAAAAGTATCAGCAGCTTTTCAGAAAAACATTTTAATTATTTCTTAATAAATTTACTAATCTCTGCTGCTGGATCGAATCTTCCACTAGTGTAAGTCATGTCAGCTGTAGTGAGGGCTGTGAAGACCCCTTTATATAAAAGGGACATTTGGCCAATTTTGTTAGGCGTATGTCTCAGGTTGGGTAAAATTTGTGAACAATAGGTAGGAGTCCTGAAATATCTGTTCAAACCAAAGTCACATTGACCTCCTCACTTAAAAAATACAGTGGTTTACTAGAAGTTTTTTCCCAAATACAGGTTGAGCCCAAATTTTGTGCAATACTGGACCATAAATATATTCAGTTACAGTTTTTGATGTTGGTCTCACAGGGAAAATCCCAGTAATTTTTCAAAATTTTTTCCAGATCACTGCTACAATAGCTGTCTGTTTTTCAATACAGTAAATATTTATAAGGAAAACTGCCTGTTCAAAATAATATAACAGCTGTCTGCTCCAACATCCCCCTAGTGATTCCCTCCATTACTGTACTGCTGTTGCAGTCAATCATTCTGGTCTCTTGAAACAGCAAAATCTTCAAAGTCTCATTCGCACAGCCAGATATGGAGAAACATCTTGAGCTAAAAGAAGATCTAATCCTAAGAGAAAAGGAAGAAAGAATGATCTCCAAAGAAGTTTAATGCTAAGAGTATAGAAAAATGCCTTTAGAAGCATTATCGGCACATATGTTGATTCTGTTGGTGGGAATACAAGGACAGATTGAGCAAATATGTTTAATGTGCATCTACAAAAACAGGAATATGAAGGAGCCTTGCTCTCTCACACAAACACAAAAATCCAAGTACAGTTTTGATGGTGGTAATTCTTGATTATATATCACATGATGGGTCTGATGTTCAACTGTGACTATTACTGCTGCCCAAGGCTGATGTGGTGGGTACGCTTCTCTTTCCTACCATGGTCTGTCATAAACTATGTGAAAAGCTGGTGAAGTCTACACATATGACACTGGCCATAGAACAATGCCTATGAAGTGACCTCACTAATTGACTCAGATACCATTGCCTTTTGCAAGTTCAGCCTCTGGAGCAGCCAAAAGCACCACAGAGCAGAACAGAAACGCCATGCTTGGGCATGACCGGACAGACCTTCAGTGGGATGTAGAGTGTTTTGTGAGATCACTGGTAGAAGGTCGCAGTGTGCTCTGCATCCTCATGGGGAAGCTCTCAGTGCCCTTTCAAGGAGGTGTGTGTATAGTGGTGCTAAGAGAAGGCAAGGTGGAACATTAGTTTTTATTAAATTAGGGTTCAGAGTTTCAGATTTAATAGCAGTCTTCTAGTGTAATAATTTTCCTCTTATTTCATAAAGAGACATATGTGCTGTGTTTAACCTGAAGTGCTAAAGACCCAAGATACGGAGTATCTCCCACTGCTTCTGATTTCTGAACACAACTATTTAGAAGACTGGGTGCATTTCAAGTCTTGTCACCTGGAATGCAGGTGATGTACTTCACTGCCCATTTATGCATCTGTTTAACACCAGGCTTTCTTAATACCCTTTAGGCTTCTTACTATATTGGCTTCCTAGGTAACATGAAAAATGAAAGCGAGATAGAGTCTGAAAGGTTTGAGCATGCTCCATTATGAAGACTGAAAGCAAATATTCTTCATTTTTTACATGGTTCTCTTTACAGGGCAGCTATGCAGCTATCAGCCATGGATTAAGAAACATGTATGATAACTGTTACTTGGGTTTTTTTCTCTCTCTCTCAGGAATTAATGTAGTTAATGCTACGGGCCAAGAATTGTATATATTCTGTGGCTTTTTTTTTTTTTTTACATTGAAAGTTGGTTACTCTTGACTTTTGATTAAAGAATTTAAACCACTGATTTTTTACCATTGCTTTCATTCTATTGGCATTGACCATGAACATAATGTAGGGCTCTTATCTTAATCTATATGATATTCAGAGGCGTAAGTAAGGTGTTAAGTATGCCACTGATGTATTGTATGAATCTTGTGTTGATTTTGAGACCTAAACAGAGATTACACTAGTCACAGACATTACAGCAGCCACAGAAATGAGATTTTAGATTACCTTTCCAACTGTTGTTTGGTTACCATGTTTCATGGGGTTGAAATAGTTTGAATGTCTAGGTAAGAAGGATGTAATTTTTGCTTACTAGAGATTTCAGGGCATAATTGATATCCTCTTCTGAGTTTTTTTAAATTAGTTTAGAACTTCTAATAATCTCTTTAAGTTATTTCAGTGAAGAAATGAGCCTAGAAGAAAAGACTAGTCCTTTAGCCTATTTATACCATATATATTTGGACAAAATGCCAAAAATGCCTTAAAGTATAACATTCTTTCCTTCAGAGCATGTCTGAAACTCTCTGCAGCAACTTTTGATTGCCTTGATAGTTCTGCCAGAGCTGATGGTCAAACATAGGAAATATAGCAAAATAGAAAGACTATGATTACAACTGTGACTAAATTAGCTATTTTTTTTCTAAATGCCATCTCTGAAAACAATTACTATCTCTATGATTATATGTGTGTGTGGTAATCCATTGCCTGTGGAAATTCACACAACAATTTGTCTCTATATTCTAATAAATTCTGCACTTATAAGTATGTACGGTACACAGTATTGTCTTTCCTTGGACTTAAGAAGTTAAGTGTAAAGAATTTTACAAATCATTCAAAAGCTTCTCCTGATCCATTGAACTTAAAATAGATTAGTCTCAAGGCAAAGTCAACTTTCCAGACACTGCAATTACAATGAATGATAGCAAGCCAGAGACATCTGTTTAATGGAAACCTACAGACCAGTACAGCTAACTACATAATTCACTTTTTCTTCCTCCTTGCACCAGGAATTCTGTGCTGCTGATCTACTCAATGCCAACATCTCTGCCCAGACTAAAAGTAAAAAAAAAAAAAAAAAGATAAAAAGAGTAATAAGATACTTGACATGTGAGAAAATGTAAAGTTACAGGTGATTGAAATTAGTTTGTCTTTCACCAGAGAGACTAGCAAAGAACACTAGGAAGAGAATTTTATTCTGTTTCTGGAGGTACTCATCCAGATATTAATAAAACTGCTATGCAGTGCCTTGAGGACTCAACAATGTAACTTTCACAAGGCAACTTGCTAAAGAGAATAATTATATACAAAGCATGTATTCCTCTATACAGCCTTTTAAGCAATGGGATTAGCTCTTCTAAGCACAAAAAATGCTTCAAATAGAAGCAATTTCAGGGGATAAACATAATGTTAAGAATTCCAAACCCCACTTATGCAATGACTAAAGCTCTGCAGCCACTTTATTTTGTGCTATACTCCCTTCAGTTGTCAGAAAAGAAGCATGGTTTGGGTCCTAAGTCTAAAGGAGCATGACCACTACTTGGAAGAGATGATAAAATAGGCCAGAAACCACTTATAGCATAGACACCAATGCTGGTTCATCTTTGGGCCTTCTGTGTAGTGTTAGTCTAATTTTATGTCACGATGTTTTTTGCTCTCTTAACCTGCCTGTAGGAAGGGTGTAGAATTTAGCACCATCTGAGGATTCAACAGTAGCAGTTGATGGATAACTCTCAAAAAAACCCACTGCTGAGGTTCACTTCATTTGTTAGAGGAGTGTATCCTGAAAAGATCTGAAGCAACTGGAAATTTGTAAAATAAATAATAAAAGAACGGTAGGTAATTTTCTGCAGCTACATATCACAAGGGGCCCCCTGGTGATCTAGTGGTTAGGATGCAGCGCTCTCACCACCGCGGCCTGGGTTCGATTCCCGGTCAGGGAATTCCCCCGGGCAGATGGAGCTCGTCAGCCCTGTAAGGCCATCCATCTAAGAGAAGGTCACTCTAAACAAACCTACGTCCTGAGGACCTCGCTGCCATTGTCCAAGCTCGCTCGGCCCTGGCAGATGAACCTTAGGATTAAAGGGTGGGCTCAGTTCAGCACACACTGTGTCTCACCTAAAAAATCCATTGCGCGGGCTCGAAGGGTAAAGACCTTTCCCAAATCTTCGTTTGCGAAGACTGGCCATACACACATATCACAAGAATAACTGTATAACCCAGTAATTGTCTGTTGGCAAACTCTTGAAAAATGCAATACAAATGCTCACCTGTAGCAGCTGCTAGTACATGATTTTTTTTATGTCAGTGGCTGCTCGTAAACACCCATCATGTTTTAGCCTACTCTCTCTTATGCAGTAGGCCTTTCCCAATGAATCCTTAAAATACCTTTTTAAAAATACAAAGATAAGCAATTTACTGGGAAGTATTAGGAACTCTCCATATTAATATACAGTCCAGTGAATTTCTATCCACAAAAAACTAGGAAATGAAAAGCATATTTGCTAGCATACCATCCATGTGTTGACTTCTCCAGAGACCCATGACTTTCCATGGCCACCAGGCATACTGAAAACTACGATCACCAGCCATATCTTCACTCCTCTAGGTGCCCACCTTTTCTCACTTTATTTCTGGACTACTACTTCTCAAAACAAGGCACTAATCTGAACTCAGGCAGCAAAGAAAGGTAATCTGAAACAATGCTCCTGAGCTTGCCTGTTGATTTTTAGGGCTTGTGATACTACTAAGTTTTTGAGCTTAATGTACTGCCTTAATTTTTACGATTTTGAGCAAGATGTTTGTAGTCAGGAAGAAATCTAGTTATCATTAATCCTCTGCAGCCCTGAAAGTTGGGGTGATTTGACTGCCCAGAGTCAACACAGGGGTTTTGGTTCTAGGAGGGGTGTGTGTTACAGGCCCTGGGATACCTCCTTAAATTCACCAATGATTTTAGATCTTTCAGAAACTAAGCTACTTCACCAGTGTTTAAATTTAGATATTTAAGTTGTATGTGTAAGAGGCTGATGTTTGAACTGCAACTGAACTGCCTATTTTCTCTTCCTTAAAATAATTTTAAATAATATCTTTAAATTATCCATTATTACTGTGCCCCCTAAAGTATGCATTTAATGGCAAATTTGTAATGCTACATAACAATCTGTCCTATAACTTATATCTAAGACATTTCCTTTTTTCCTCAGAGCCTCTAAATATGGTTTCTTAATCTTCTGAACATATTTTCTTCCCTGACCTATATCTTATCAATCTTTGATCCATAACAATTTCTCACACCTCTGTGGCTTGATCAGAATCTGTCTAGATGAGGCAGTAGCATTGCTTCAAAGCTCTTTAATCATTGTATTGAATTAATGCAATTACATACCTGATGTATTAGAAATCTCACCTTGGGTCTCCACATTTACAGCTCATTTGGAGTCCTCTGTAGCCTTTTTTCCCCCCCATCCTGGAGGCAGGATTTCCAGCCTCCACAGGCTTATCTGTTAATACTACTAAACAGAACAGTACATAGAGAGATGTTTGCAGAAGAAAGAAGGTGGAAGAAGAATAAATAGCACACTAGCAAATAAAATGTGTTGCTTTATTTCCTTAACTCAGTGGACTCACAATACGTATAATTGAAATGGGTTTCATATTCAAGAAGGAACTTTCACTGTTTCAATACCATACTCTCAAGGTTTGAAATCCAAATGCTTAGTTATACAGGTAAATTCCATAAAGTAATTGTCCCTTGCAATAATGAAACACTGAGACCCTTGCATTTCAAAGGGAAAAGGCTCCAAGGGAGTTCAAGTTAACTCACAGAGAAATATTCACAAGAATAAAATTTAATATAAAGCTACAAAGAAATAACCTCCTTTTATAAGCAAAGTGGATTCTGATAAGGGTCAGGTGTGTTTTTTTCAGTATTCCTTCTGGCTGCAGGATGTGGTACTACTTTTCAGCATATTCTCAGCAGGGTTGGATCAATATAGCTTAGTGATATCAGTGGAATAACAATAACAATTTATGTTATCTGAGGATCTTTCTCTTCATATTTAATGTTTAACCTATTCAATTTTGTCTTTGTAAAAATTTGTAATGGTTACTATTCCCAAAGAGAGTTTCACAATCCATGCTTGCTTTTGCCTATTTTAAAACAAAATGCATGAAATGCTGGCAGATATCTCTATAGAAAATAATATTTCAACCCTGTCACTTGTAGACCAGTACTGACAAATGGATTGGCAAGGTCTGATTAGAAATGCAGTGCTGATGCAAACCAGATGCAGAATGATATGGGCACTCCATCAATGGGAGTTTAGCTGATGTCCTGTTGTAAAGCTGATTGCCTGCTGATTCCCAAACTTCATCAGAACTACTAATTTTTTTCAAAAATTGTTTATTCTAAATTTAGTTCTGTATAGCTAGGTAAAACTCAGATTAAAATTACTACTGCTATAATACTTGGTTATGGTTTAATTTGAATGAAAAATGTATTTTCATTTAATGACATCAGTAATAAATATAACAACTTAGCTTTGGGGGTTTTTTCTGTGGACTTTAGTAAGGATGACCTTTCGATATTATGAGGGGATTTAATTAGGGACATTTCGGAGAAATTCA